AGAAATATTGAAATCAATTGTCTTTGATTTGAATTCTGGATCTTTTACAATGTACTCGTGAATGGCTATTTATAGGCAAATATTTGTAGGAAAAAACTTCCAGCAATAACTACCTAATAATTACTTAAAACTACCCACTCTTCGATCTTCATTCCCACAATGCCACATATCCCTCCATATCTTCATAATTTCCTTTAATCTCCAATTCATGCTCCATATTCTCCACTCTATTCTCCATAATTTTTTCACATTTCATAACTTCTCATAACCTCCAAATGAGTAGGAGGATACCACATGTCCTGCAATTATATAAATAATAAATAATAATAAAAATTACAGATTTATGGTGCCAACACTAGTGAATACATAATTTGATAAAATAATATTTGTATAAAAATTTAAATTATACAACAGTACCAAAATCAATTAAAAATTTACAAAGTTAAATATAAATTATCTCAATCACTTTATTAGAATTTCATCTTAACTCTAAAATTTAAAAATTAATTCCACATAATTATCAAACTATTACTCTACACATAATAATAATAATAAAAAAAAAAACTCTCTACACTTTCTCACTTAGGGGTGTGCATAATACCGCCGAAACAGCCAAAACCGCACCGAACCGCACTGCCAAGGCAAATTCGTTATTATTTGCCAATCGAACCGCCGGTTTTTGGTAAGAAAAATGACAAATTCTAGTGACACTTTTATCAATCCGCCGGTTTTTATTTTTCTTCCAAACTGTACCGACCTGCACCGCTATTAAATCATGTTTTATAATATTCAAAAAATTCTTTTTTACTTAAGTTTGCTTATTGTTCTATACCTTAGAATATAGTATTACATTACTAATCGAGGGGAATTTTATGTATTGTATTTGATCATTGTAGCTCCCACAGATGCTTGTAATGAACTGATGGCATAGTCGTTGATATTATCATGTTGTTGCTACACTTGCTGCATCAGAAGAAAGCTTCGCAAGATGCTTAACATCACGGTATCTCTCGTTTTTTTTTTACTCTTTGATTTAAGTTTTGTAATTTGAATTATATTTTTTATAAACCGCCAATCCGCTCGAACCGCCAAGGCAAATTCGTCATTATTTGCCAACCGAACCATCGATTTTTGATAAGAAAAATGACAAATTCTAGTGACACTTTTATCAATCCACCATCCGCCATACGATTTCTATTTTTTTATCAAACCACACTGACCCGCACCGCACACCCCTACTCTCACTATCACATCCTGCCTTTTACTATTAAACTCCCAGTTCTCTCCTTTGCCGTCTCTCCCCCTCCGTCTGAAGCCTTACTGAACTCCTTAATTTATAGAACTCTGAAAAGATGCTGATGACGATGATAAGGCACGCATAATAATCAAATAGAATAAAAAATTGAAAAAGAAAGCTTTTTGGGTGAATAAGAAATCAAAGAGAGAAAATGGAACGGAGCGGGCGGGGGCTTGTCTGCCACCACCGTAAAATTTTATTATTTTTATTTATTAAAATTTTTAATAATAATATTTATAATGATTTATGAAAATTTTAATAATAATATTTATAATGATTTATGCATTAATACACTATATATATATATATATAAAATCACGTAAAATTATAAAATAATAAAAATAAATAGACTAATGAAACATATATTAAGAAGTTAAATGTAATATTTAGCCTGTCTTTGGCAAGTGAGTTTGCAGGTTTTTTTGGCTATTTTAGTCACAAAAAACAAAATAGGCTATTTTAGCCATAACAAACAAAACATCACATCCAACCCATAATCATTACATTCTTCTCTCACAAAAAAACTCAAAAGTCCTTCCCAAACCAAACTTTTAAACCCAGGCTAAAATAGTCAAAAAAACCAAAAAGCTAACCCACTTCCTAAACGGAAGCTTAGACACTATTCACACTACATCCGAGAAATTGGTAGAATGCCGAAGGGGGTCAATCATGAACCGTAAAAAAAAAATTTATATGAAAGCCACTAAATGCTGGTAGCGTCATGAATTCCGACAAAAAAAATTTATTTGTTCTTCTTCATTTCTAGTTCAACAAATGTTTAATCAATTACAAACTCTTAAAAGGAATAATGCCCAGATTTGGTTTTCTACTCCTTCGGTCACACATTAATCTCTCATCCTCTTTTTTGATCCTTTTTTTTAAAATTTTTTAAAAAAATTTACACTTCTTTGTTGCCAAACTATATATATATATATATAATAGACAGAAAACAAATCTTTCACAACGTAGGTTCATTTGGGAAAATTTTTTTCAGCTTTATTTTTTGGCTAATTTAACCTACTTTAATTAGTTTTGTTTGGAAATAACTTTTTGGTTCTTTTGATTTTTTTTTTGAAAGCCTAAGTAAAATAATTATGATTTAAATATAATATTGGGAAATTTACCAATAAATCCCAAAATTTGAACTTATGCACCAATTGGTCCCATTTTTATTCTATTAAACCATTTAGTCCCATCAACCAACTTCCCAGATAGGGATATAGTGGAGATAATTTATTTGGGTCAATGAAGACAGTGTGTTATTATTATCATTAGCGCTAAAGCAAGATGAATAAATGAGAATTGGTAAAGTGATTTGCAGTTGGGTAGGTGCTGTTTTGGTGTTTTTTTTGGGTGTTTGCCCAAGTTGGGATGGAATTTGGTATAGTTGGCAACAATAGGAGGAAGAAGATGGAATATATATAAATATATATATTAATGGGTGGTATACGTAATGCGTGTGCAATTCAAATAATCAATAACAACAAATTTAATATTATAATATGTATGTCACTTAAGTGATAAGTATGTTCTTAATGAAACTTAAGGTCTTGAGTTCAAAATTTGCTTATGCTATGTATAATAATTTTTTTTTATACTTATTTTAGCATATATAAAATTGTCATGTGGCATAAGGAAAAGAAAGTTTCACTAAACCAACTTAGGCCTTCACTTAATAATAGTATAGATATAGGTTTTATTTAGTAGAGAGAGAAATGAGATGAAGGTAAAAATGTCAATTTATCTGTTCTATTAATAGAATTAGTGTGCGTATTAGTCCACAAACTACATGGACGGGGTTATGTGGTCATTTCTAAACGCTAGGGAGTATATCGCACATAGCCCGAACTATAAGGGGATAAAATAAAGTTTGCCCAAAATATTAAGAAAAAATTATAAAATTTACCATGAATTTGTAATATTCCAAGGGTGTTTGGGAGGAGTTATTTTAATCATTTGTTTATTTTAATTTTTTTATGAAAAGATGTAAAATAAAAAAAAAAGAGAGAGTGATATGATTGGATGTAGAGATGTAATCAATTTGATATCGTCAGTATTTAGGTAAAAAATTTCACCGAATCGATAATATCAGTTTTATTATTTTGAATACCGATACAGACCACTTCTCCCATCAATCTACACTGAACTGAACCGATTGAAATGATTCGATTCGATGCGATTTAATCGGTCTAAGACATTTCAAATTTGAGTCACTTTTAAATATAATCACTAATATATATAAAAATATTAAATTAGTTATTTGTCTATCATTTCAAACATATCCAATTAATCTATTTAATAAATACTTTTCATTTCCTAAATAAACAAAAAGCAAAAAAATTTAAAAATACTAAAATTTCAAGAATAATTAGTTAGAATTAATATTATATATAATAAGAGTTTACAAATTTAAGTTATAAAGATGATAATGTTAATTAATTAAGATTAATAATTTAATATACTTATTAACATCATTATATTATTAGATTATGTTAAAGTGGTTGGTTTCGGTTTAATTCGATACATAAGGTACTTGAACCAATACCGAATAGAAAATAAAAAAAATTAAATTTAAAAATTACACAAACCGATTCTTGTTAAAAAGAAAAATCAAATATAGAAAATTTAGCCTTGTTCAATCGGTTTGATCAATTTTTTATTTTTATTTTTCTTGCCTCCCTAATTAGATGTTTGCGCATTGAAAAATACTTCATCTACCACATAATTTCTTTTCCACAAGCCTCTCCAAATGAAGACAAATTAATGATCCAGGTTCATATACTCTTCTCTCTTTTCAAAATCTTTAAACCAATCATATCACATTAGTGAGTGGTGGTATTACATACATTAATTAGTATATTAATTAATGTATTAATATCAATTATGACATTATTATTAATCTCACTCATTACATAAATTATAAATACTTAAAATATTTTAAATTATATCACATTATTAATTAATATACTTATTAATATATTAATTAATACATATAGTATTATTCCTCTTGGAGAGAATTTGGAGAGAAAATTTTATGAGAATGCAGCACTGCTATTTGGCTTTTTAGTCGAAAAAACAAATCAACACCCAAGGACCTCAGTAATTTTCCAACAAAGAAATCTCTTATGAAGACACAACGGGTATGCTTGGTTTATATTTGTGAAATAATTTTATAAAAGGAGTATAAAAAATTTAAAATTTTATTTGGTTGTATGTTTTGAAAATAATTTTAAATAGGAGTAATTTTTTTTTTTGTAGTTAAATAGATGAGTGTGAGAAAAAATAATTAATTGATATGTAGAATATAAAAGAATAAACGGTGGTGCTAGAGATTACTAATTTAGTGACTCTAAACCTACCGCTAATGAGGTGACAAACAAAAAAAAAAGAAAAAAAAAGACATAATACAAACTTTGGCCGTGGGTGAGATCTACTGTCACATCACTAGTGATAGCTCTAATTAAAACTCCCACTCATTTTCTAAATAATAAAATTGGAGGAAAAAAAAGTTGATTGATGGGTAATTGAAATAAAAGTAATTTTAAATTTTATTTTTAATCAAATAATTTTAAATTTTTTTTTTTTTCAAAAATTCTGTCAAAAAGGCAAACTTATTGCAAGGCCAAAAGCTGCCTGACAAGCAGCACAAGCGTAAAAAAGCATGCGAGCAAGCATCTTCTGTTTCCAAAGTCAGAAGTGAAAAAGCAAGCAAAACAACTGACAAATAACTTAACACCCCTGTCATCTTCATCACAGAATCCAATCCACTGACACCCCCATTCCCTCTTCTCCATCATCGTCACTATCCAAACCCAGCAGCAGCACTACCCCCATGAATTCTTCGCCCCCATAACTACCCTCCAGCTTCAACAAATTTACCTGTAAACCTCCAATGGCCCACCCTAACTAGAACCATCAGTCTCTGTCTTCTTCTTGTTTCACTTCAAAATTCAAACCCTAATTTCCCTCCCATCCCCACTCAAAAATGGCTTCATAGAAGCGCTTTTCCAAATCTCCCTCATTGCGAAGCGCTTTTGCATTCAGAAGATCTCCTAGACTCACTTCTTCTTCTTCGCCTCCCAAAATCAAACCCACTTCCATGAAGTCGCCCCTCAAAAATCCGCCATTGTTGAACTCAGACGCATTGGCTCTTTCTTTGTATGTCAATGGAAACGAAGCAAATGAAGACCAGCCAACGCCGTTGAAAATGTACGACCCCAATTCATCTGCCGAGAAGTCTGTGCGAAGATCGCCGAGGTGTACCACAAACAAGTACAAAAGTCCCAAATTTGAACCTGCATTGTCTAATTGCTTACGGAGATCGCCGCAATTCTCGGCCCCAACTGATGATCGGGAGGTGAATTTGATGAAATCTGATTTGAATTTGATTGAATGGCAGGGTTCTGATGCGGGAGAGGTGGGTGTGAAGTGGTTGAGGTCGCGCATGGTGCCAATGCGTTTGGATGGGTCTGCATTGTCGATTGAATCGCCTTCGAAGAAGGCGAAGACATCTTCAGCGAGGTCTGGTTTGAGAAAATCTCCGAGATTGCGTGCTAATGTCGATGTCAAGTGTAATTTGTTGGCATTGCCTGTATCATCATCGTCGGTGAAACAGTTTTCGAAGAAAACAAAGACCAATTGGGGGAAAAGCGATTCGAATGTATTTGGTAAAAGATGCTCGAGGTCTCAAAAAGTGCCTGTTCTACTAGTTGATGAACATGGTGAGACAAAGTCTAAGTCTGTTGTGAAAAGAAAGCTGAAGGAGAAGAGTAAGAGCGCTTTTGGGAGCTGTGATTTGGGTGTGTTGGGCAAAAAGTGCTTGAGATCTCGGACAATACCATTTCGGCTAGTTGGGATTGAAGATGTTGAATCTAAGCGTGTTTTGATTGAATTGCCTGGGGGAAAAGCGATTCGAATGTATTTGGTAAAAGATGCTCGAGGTCTCAAAAAGTGCCTGTTCTACTAGTTGATGAACATGGTGAGACAAAGTCTAAGTCTGTTGTGAAAAGAAAGCTGAAGGAGAAGAGTAAGAGTGCTTTTGGGAGCTGTGATTTGGGTGTGTTGGGCAAAAAGTGCTTAAGATCTCGGACAATACCATTTCGGCTAGTTGGGATTGAAGATGTTGAATCTAAGCGTGTTTTGATTGAATTGCCAGAAGTTTTAAGGGATAAGAAGCAACAGGAGGAGATTAAGACGAATTCTGGGTGCTTTGATTTGGATGGGATTGCTGAGAAGAAGTGCTTGAGATCTAAGAAAGTCCCAATTTGCGTTGTTGGGACTGAAAAGGAGGACACAAAGCCAGGTTTAATTGCATTGCCTGTGAGTTTGGGGGATGAAAAGCAAGAGGAGGAGATTAAGACAGCTTCTGGGAGCTACGATTTTGATGGGATTGTTGAGAAGTGCTTAAGATCTCGGAAAGTTGCATTTCGCGTTGTTGGGACTGAAAATGAGGACACAAAACCAGCTTTAATTGCACTGCCTGATGTTTCAGCAGAAAAAAAGCCATCTTCAATGAAGAAAGAGAAAAACCAGAAGACCACATGTTCCTTTTTTGGACAGCCTGTTCCAGAGGAAGAAGCTCGAGAAAGATGGCGATGGCGCTATGAATTGAAGGTGCACATACACTTCTAGTTTTTCAGTTGCATTTTATTTTTTTTTCAATCTCGAGGGTTTTAATGTGTTTGATGATGTGCATTTTACATTGACTGTGGATAAAATTTCTGCAATGTGAAGGTGTACCCGAAAATTGCTAATCTGAAGAAGCTTTTAAATAATGGTGGTATTTGAAATGAGAATTTTTTAAGGGAAATATACTGGATAATATAGCAAGTATACATAATTGTGTCTCATGGGGCATGGAGATATATTAAGCGCTGATAATCTTATTTATTAGTTCTGATTTCTTAAATGATCTGTTTGTTTGGCACAATAATCTATTATAATGCAATTCTGTTTGAGGTGTAGATTTCATTATTGATTTATAAAGAAAATGGCTAAATAATAAGAGAATAGATGATATTCTTGTGTCTTTTTTCTCTTACGACAAAGTACTAAAATAGAGGGTTGTAAGTTGTAACCCTGGACTGTTATGACTTTTCAGTGTGCTACTTGTATGTGGCCTCTTGCAAAAAGGCCATTCACATGGACAGATATCTCTGATAGAGGCCTAGTTGAACTTTCAGGTAGTATTTGGTTCACTAGAATGGAATGGAATGTGATGTAATGATTATTCCATCAAAATATTCATTCCCATGTTTGATTGACTAAGAAAATAATGAAAAATACATTGCAAATGGAATCATCATTCACCATTTTAAGGAACTTATCAGGAAGGTTTTTCCCCGATTCATTCTCCCATGAATTCCTCTGCATGAATATTATGGTACGGCTTGCAGTACGGATTGGACCGTGCTCCACCCCCATGAACTCATGCAGCTCTGATGTGCCTGTGAGAATACATTGTGAATCTTGCAAATTAGGCATGATTGTGGTTGTATATGTTAGAGTCCTAGTCCTATTGGATGAGTGATTGTATTAGAGTCCTTTTTGGTTTAGGAGTTGGGGCTATATAATCTAAGGTCTGGTTGTAATCAAATATACAATTGAATATATAGAGATACAGAAATCTTATATGGTATCAGATAGGGGTGGGCGTTGGTCGGTTGCGGCCACGGAATCTCCAATCCATCATCCGTCCGCTTAGATTGGCGGATTGGAGAAAATCAATCCGCATCCGTCCGCTAATCCGGCGGATGTGGATTGAGCGGATTGGCGGTTTGAAATTTTATAAATTTTCAACATAATTCAACTTGTGCATTTCTTCAAAAAATAAAATAAAAATAAAGTATTACAGTCAATGACTTAAAAAAGTGTTACAATTACCACATGCATCATCCAAAGAAAGAAAGTTTGAAACTTTAGAATATCACAATCACTGCATGCCTCATCCACATATTACAATCACAGTATGCCTCATCCACATAAAGTATTACAATCTGTGGTTCTTAAAATATAAAAACAATTCAAACCACCAAAACCATGAACAGAGCAATAGTAGAGATTGTGTATGTCTCTATATTGTTACATTTATATATGTTTTTGAAAACAAAAACCAACCAGTATATATTATATTTTTTATTTATTACTTTTAGAGTTTGATTTAAAAACAAAAAAAATATAGATAAATAATACCTTTATTTTTTTCAATTCAAAAAATATATTCAAATTGAAAACTTCTTTTCAACAGAATATTTGAACTCTTTTTTAATTGAAAATACAAACAAAACATTTAAACAAATTGAAAATACAAAATCTTATAAATTAGTAAGGGTGCTCGCGGTTTGGCGGTTCGGTTGCGGCCAAAGAAACCTCAAATCCGCCATCCGTCCGCCAAATTGGTGGATTAGAGAAAATCAATCCACAACCGTCCGCTCGTCATCACGCATCCGTCTAAAATGCGGTGGATCAGTTCGGTTCGGTCGGTTTTGGCGGATCGGTATATCCGCTGCTCACCCCTAGTATCAGAGCTTGGTTTCGAAACCCTAGCAGCCATTGTTGAAGCTTTTCTGTTTTGTTGAACTCTCTGGTTCAACCTTGTAGATTCGAGTCGACCCATCTGGTTCGTCCGAGGTCTCTCCGTCTCTTCTTCAGATCCGTTGTCTCGCCATCGCGATCCTGGTTGATAGCGATCGTGGTCGATCACCTCCTTTGGTATGATGGTCGTCCGAGATTGGGTTCGGATTATCTTCCTCTTTGGTTGATCACGGTTGATCGCGATCGTGGTTCATCTGGTTTGCCTCCTTACAAACGCTGGTCCAAATACGTCTCTTGGACCACTCTGGTTAATTTCTCTGTTTGACCCCTCTCCTTACAGTCGCTGGTCTAGTCTACGTTTGACCACTCTAGTTAATTTGTTTTATAAAAACCTTGCTTTATTACAATGTCGGAAGATAAAATCCAAGCTATTAAATGTAAATTTACAAGTGACAACTACGCTTATTGGCTATCTAGCATGGACACGTTTCCGAAGGCAACGTATGGGTGTTGGACACGTGTCGGACACGGACGCGTGTCGGACACGGACGCGCGTCGGACACGCGGTTGACACGTGTCCGACACTCTACCCAACGTGTCCCTTTTTTTTTTGAATTTTTGTAGCCGAACACTCTGTTGGACAATCTTGGACACGCTATGGACATGTTATGGACTGAGAGGGAGAGAAACCCTAACCCGTTGAAGACAGACACAAAGAGAGAGAGAGAGAGAGAGAGAGAGAGAGAGAGAGGGGTGAAGAACCTGTTGAAATGGAGCCCTAGATCAGGTATGTTTTTCAATTCTTCAAATCTCTTCTTCGATCTCCTTATTTTCTTCTTCTTTCTTCGTTTCGTCTGCGTTGTCTGTGTCGTCTTCCTCGTTATGGTGTTTCAGCCCTCTCCTTTGACTATCGATCACTGTTCTCTCTCTCTCTTGCTATGGTGTTTCAGCCCTCTCCTTTGACTATCGATCGCTATATCTTCCATTCTATTATATGTTATATACTAATAATATATATACGTATATATATATATATTTATACACTAATAATAATAGTGTATATATTATATATTAGATATATACTTGAACAAAAATCTTTTTTTTCTTCTTTTCCTTTTTTCTTTTTTTTTTTCTTTTCCTTTTTTCTATTTTTTAGATATTATTATTTGTTTAAATAAAATATTTTTATTTATAGGAAAATTTTAATTTGTGAATAATATTTGATATTAAAATAAATAAATAATATTTATATTTTTTAATTTTACATATAATAAAAAAATAAAATTATATATACTGAACGTGTCCCCAACGTGTCGTGTCTCCTATTTTTTGAAAATTTGCGTGTCCGTGTGTCCGTGTCGTGTCCTCGTGTCCGTGTCTGTGCATCATAGCTTATTGGTCTAGTGTTATGAGAAATTTTCTTCTTGGTCGAAAAAAATGGGGATATATTTCTGGTTCTATTCCTCGTCCATCGGATCCCAAACAAGAAGAATATCTGCTTTCATGTGACACTTAGGATTGTGATAATGCTTAAGTTTTGACCTGGTTCCATAACTCTGTGGATGACCGTATCGGGATGATGTTCTCTAAATATAGCACTGCCAAAGAGGTGTGGGATTACTTGCAAAGTGTTTATCAGCAGTCGAACTTTGCCAAACGGTATGAGTTGGAAACAACTATTCAGGGAGCTCGTCAGCGGGATCTGTCTATTCAAGATTTCTACATTGAGATGACAGGTCTCTGGGATTAGTTGGCCCTTATGGAACCATCTAGCCTCAAGACACTAGAAGCTTATGTTGAGTTTCGAGAGCAAGGTCGTTTAGTGCAGTTCTTAACGGCTCTCTCCCCTCAGTATGAGGCTATTTGTGGTGGCATTCTTCACTGGTCTCCTCTCCCCTCTGTGGATGCTATTGTTCGCGAGCTCCTCTCCGAGGAAACTCGTCTTAAGACGGCCAGTCAGACTCTGTCTCCATCTGTCTTCTTGGCTCCTACTTCGTCTCCTCTGCTATCGAACCCCCCACCTTATCAGCCTTAGACCAATGCAAAGCCCAAGAAGGGGCCACTAGTCTCTGATGAGTGTGCTTTCTGCCATCAAAAGGGTCATTGGAAGTACAACTGTCCCAAGAAGGACCGTCAGTCTGCTCAGTCTTCTCAGTCGTCTTAGCCATAGTCCCGAGGTCCTGCTCCGAATACTTTTCGCCCTTCTGCTGCTTATACTACCTCTGCCTCGGTTTCTGATCCTAACTTGGCTTCCTTGAGTGCTCAAATTGCGTAGTTTCAACATCTATGGTCCACCTCTCAGTCATCTTCATCTACCTCTGCTCTCACCTCTTCTCATTCAGGTTTGCTTGGGTCCTCTTCAGGTATTCCTTCCTCTGTCTGGCTTTTTTATTCTGGTGCCTCTCATCATATGACTCCTCACCTCTCCTTACTCCAAAACTATATCCCCCTTCCATTTCCTATTACTATAAATACTGCTAATGGGTCTGGTATGTCTGTCCTATCTATTGGGTCTGTTTTACCCTCTGCTATGTCTGCTGTTACTATTCCCTCTGCTCTTTATGTTCCTCGACTGTCTGTTAGCTTGCTTTCTATCAGTCAGTTTGATGCTTTTGGTTTTGATGTTATTTTTTCTTCTTCTGTTTGTTGTGTGCAGGATCAAGTATCCAAGAAGCAAATTGGGACCGGCCGTAGAGTTGGAGATCTCTATGTGGTGGAAAGCCTTCATCTTCCTCAGTCTACCTCCCTCGTTGCACTTTCATCTTTTTAGTTAGATTATCAGTCGAGTCAGTTTTATTTATGGCATTCTCACTTAGGTCATTTGTCTATTGACCGCTTATGGTCTTTAGCTCAGTCAGGATTGTTAGGTAAAGTTTTTCCTAGTCACATTAATGAGTGTCAAGGGTGTAAACTTGCTAAAATGATAGCTTTACCCTTTAATCACAGTACTTCTATTTTTGCTTCCCCTTTTTCTCTTGTACATACTGAAGTCTGGGGACCATCTCCTGTTCTCACTAAAGGGGGTTCTGCTTATTATGTGTCCTTTGTTGATGATTGTACTCGCTATACCTGGGTTTATCTTATGGCTCATAAATCTGACTTCTACCAGATATATCGTATATTTCAGTCTATGATCACTACACAATTTGGGGCCATAATTAAAATACTCCGGTTTGACTTGGATGAGGAATGCTTTAAAACTGAATTCTGAGTATTTGGCCAAATTGGGCACCATTCACCAAACCTCTTGTACTGATACACCTGTCCAAAATGGTCGTGTTGAGCGTAAACACTGTCATCTCCTTGAGACAGCTCGATCTCTTCTTCTCCCTGCCTTTATTCTGGCACCATTCTGGGGTGAGGTAGTTCTTACTGCTGCTTTCCTCCTTAATCGTATGCGGACTCCCTTACTCTCTGGTCGATCCCCTTATAAGGTTTTATATTCCCAACCTCCCAATTATTTTCTCCAGCGTGTCTTTGGGTCTGCTTGTTTTGTCCTCCTTCCTCGTAAAGATAGAACCAAACTCAATGCCCGGTCTATCTTGTGTGTCTTTTTGGGTAACAGTTCTACTCAGAAAGGCTACCGCTGTTACGATCCTGTCTCTCGTTGCCTTTATGTCTCCCGTCATGTTGCCTTTCTCGAACGTCTGTCTTACTTTTAGCTTCTCCCTCTCACTACTCCAGTTTTCAAAGAGGATTTGGTTCAAATTGACCCATTTCCTTCTGAGGTCTCGTCTGATGAATACATCTCCACTGTTCCTCCTAAGTTTATTCCATCTTCTCCTCTTCCTTCACCTCTAGTTGCTTCTCCTCCTTCGGCTTCTTCTCTTCCTCCGTTATTAGTTTATTCTCGTCGCAAGGTTCCTCCTCTACCAGTTGTCTCTATCTCTGCTGTTGCTCTTCCTGCTTCTGACGACACCGATCCTTGCTGAATGCCGATATCCTATTCGAGCGCGTCATCCTCCAAACAGGTTGGGTTGGTTTAATACATGTTTTCTATTTCCTATCGTATTTTTTTGTCTGCTATTCACTCTTTTTCAGAACTCCAGTCTTATAAGGAGGCATGTCAGGATCCTCATTGGGTTCAAGCTATGGAGGATGAGTTGTCTGCTCTACAAAAAACTAGTACTTGGGAGTTGGTTCCTTTGCTTGCTGGTAAGAACTTGGTTGGTTACAAATGGGTCTACAAAGTCAAGACTCATTCTGATGGGTCTCTTGAGCGCTATAATGCTAGTCTGGTTGCCAAAAGTTTCTCTCAGGAGTATGGTATTGATTATGAGGAGACATTTGCTCCTGTTGTCAAGATGACTACTGTCTGTACTTTGATCTCTGTCGCTGCTATTCGGTCTTGGCCTCTTTATCAGATGGATGTTAAGAATGCTTTTCTTAATGGTCATCTCACTAAAGAGGTTTACATGCACCCTCCCCCCGGTCTTCACCATTCCTTTGGCCAGGTTTGTCATATTCGGCGTGCTCTGTATGGTCTGAAGCAGTCTCCTCGTGCTTGGTATGATCGCTTTCAGACTGCTGTTACCGAGCTTGGATTTCATCCTTCTGCTTCCGACTCTACTTTATTTCTGAGACATACGTCGGCTGGTTTTGTTGCTCTCTTACTCTATGTGGATGATATGATCATCACTGGCTCTTACTCTTCTGCTATCTCTGAGGTCAAGCAGCATCTCTTCCGCACCTTCGAAATGAAAGATCTGAGTCCATTACGGTATTTTCTTGGTATTGAGATTGCTTCTTCTCCAAAGGGTTATTTTCTGTCTCAGGCTAAGTATGCTAATGAAGTCATTCATCGTGCTGGTCTCACTGATACTAAGGTTTCTGATACACCTATTGAGCTTAATGAGAAACTTAACTCTACTGATGGTGTCCCTTTAGATAATTCCACTTTATATCGCGAGCTTGTGGGTTGTTTAGTTTATCTGACTGTCACTCGTCCTGATCTTGCTTATGCTGTTCATGTGGTTAGTCAGTTTGTTTCTGCTCCTTGCTCTACCCATTGGGCTGCGTTGGTTCGCATTCTTCGCTATCTCAGGGGTACCATCTTTCGGGGCTTACTGTTGTCCTCTACTTCCTCTTTGGACTTGGTGGCCTATACTGACTCTGATTGGGCTGGTGATGTTACTGGTCGCAAGTCTACGTCTGGTTTCTGTATGTTTCTTGGTGATTCCTTGATCTCTTGGAAAAGCAAGAAACAATCAGTCGTTGCTTGTTCTACTGCTGAAGCTGAGTATCGTGCAATGACTCATGCCACTACTGAAGTTGTTTGGTTTCGTGGTCTCTTGTCTGATTTGGGTGTCTCTCAGTCTTCTCTGACCTCTCTCTATTGTGACAACCGCAGTGCTGTTCAGATTGCCCACAATACTGTTTTCCATGAGCGAACGAAACACATTGAGATTGATTGTCACTTCGTTCGCCAGTATCTGCAGTCGGCCTCTATCTCGCTTCCTTTCATCTCTTCAGCTTTGCAACTTGCGGACTTCTTCACCAAGACTCACGCTACTGCTCGATTTCAGTTTCTTCTTAGCAAACTCTCAATGTTTTCTGCTAAAACACCTTGAGTTTGAGTGGGGGTGTGAGAATACATTGTGAATCTTATAAATTAGGCATGATTGTGGTTGTATATGTTAGAGTCCTAGTCCTATTAGATGAGTGATTGTATTAGAGTCCTTTTTGGTTTAGGAGTTAGGGCTATATAATCTAAGGTCTGGTTGTAATCAAATATACAATTGAATATACAGAGATACAGAAATCTTACAGTGTCCAGACGCCAGAGGCCAGAGGCAAATCTTTTCTTAACATCAAGCGTGTTGGTACTAGATAGAAATGATAACCCCAACAATTTCTTTGTTTTAACGACTTAAAAGAGAAGGCGATTGATCGAAGAGGTCTAAGATTATAATACAAATAGTTGGCCCTTCTTTCTCAAAGTAAACTTTCTCGTTTCTTGCTTTAGTTTTCAATAAGGGGTGCGTTATTCTATTCCATCTTATTCCAGTGAACCAAATAAAGCATCAATCTTCTTTGCAAAAGGTACGGAAAAAAAGGAAAAAGAAAAATGGCCACATATCCGTTCTGTGTGCCTTGGTCACCTAATAATCGTTTGCACAGGAGCATTGACTGACTGACTTTAGTTTTGCAGCTTTGTTTATTATCTTCTTGGCTTGCATATTTTCATTTTTTCCCCTTTTCTTTTTTCCAGCAATTATTAGCATATTTCAGTTCTGAATTCTGAGTATGAATATGTTAGAGATTGCAGAGTCAAAGATCTGGGAGCCAAGGCAAGATATTAAAGTGAGTCGCAATCTACAAACTTGTCTCCTAGGTAGCTTTTGTTTTGGAAACTTATCACCATTTTTTCTTCTTCTTTTTTATTTTTTTTTATTTTTTTGTATTTTCTTTGCTCTATAATATTGTACATACTCATTTGCTGCAGTGAAGGTGAGGAGGATGAAATAATTTTGAACGTGGAATGCCATTACACTCAAGCTAAAGTTGACAGCTGCATATTCAATCTTGGAGATTGTGCATACATAAAGGTCAGTACACCATATTTCAAACATAGGTCCCTCACCCCTCTCTCCCTCCTTTATTACTTTTTTGTTGCTACATTGCCCCATTACATGTTTTGCTGAATTTGACTTTTCAAAAGAGTTTATTAACTTTGAGATCATGCTTTCCTATGATTAAGGTAATTTATGTGAGGCTTTCGCACTTGCCCCATTAAGCTTTATTATTTATGTATCTTGATCAGTTCTGAATTTTTTCAATAATTATTTCAAGACTTCTCTTGGTCTTGTTTCCTATCTACATGGGCTTTTATATGTGTGGAACTGCATAAGCATTGCTAGATGTTGTTGAAGCAGTACGTACTGTCATCACTGAATTTTGTATGCATATTGTTACGACTTCTATAAAGTAGAAGGCTTATGTAGGCATTTTCTTGATCATCCAAGGAATGGGCTTGAAATTATGTTTTTAAACCTAGTATTTTACGTAGGCACTTATTGCTTCCTTTCTCTCTCTTTTTTCTTTTTTACTTTTTTTTTTTTTTTTTTTTTTTTTTTTTTTTTTTTTTTTTTTTTTTTTCTGGCTGTAACAGACGTACCAGGAACAATATGGGGCTCTAAGGAACAATCTTCAAGGAGGAAGATAGTGCTCTGATACCATGTTAAATGTATAGATGAGAAGAAGAAGAAGAAGAAGAAGAAGAAGAAGAAGAAGGAATAGAACAAGAGAAAGCTTCTGTAGATTATTGATTCAAAACTTAGGGTTTCCCCCTTACACACAACTACTTATACTAATAAGAATAATACATAAAGACCAAACTACCCCTAACACTTAACAGTCATCTTAGCCACAGTCTCGAGGTCCTGCTCCGAACACTTTTCGCCCTTCTGCTGCTTATACTACCTCTGCCTCGGTTTCTGATCCTAACTTGGCTTCCTTGAGTGCTTAAATTGCTTAGTTTCAACATCTATGGTCTACCTCTCAGTCATCTTCATCTACCTGTGCTCTCACCTCTTCTTATTCAGGTTTGCTTGGGTCCTCTTCAAGTATTCCTTCCTCTGTCTGGCTTTTTGATTCTGGTGCCTCTCATCATATGACTCCTCACCTCTCCTTACTCCAAAACTATATCCCCCATCCATTTCCTATTACTATAAATACTGCTAATGGGTCTGGTATATCTGTCCTATCTATTGGGTCTGTTTTACCCTCTGTTATGTCTGATATTACTATTCTCTCTGTTCTTTATGTTCCTCGACTGTCTGTTAGCTTGCTTTCTATCAGTCAGTTTGATGCTTCTGGTTTTGATGTTATTTTTTCTTCTTCTGTCTGTTGTGTGCAGGATCGGGTATCCAAGAAGCAAATTGGGACCGGCCGTAGAGTTGGAGATCTCTATGTGGTGGAAAGCCTTCATCTTCCTCAGTCTACCTCCCTCGTTGCACTTTCATCTTTTCAGTTAGATTCTCAGTCGAGTCAGGTTTATTTATGGCATTCTCGCTTAGGTCATTTGTCTATTGACCGCTTACGGTCTTTAGCTCAGTCAGGATTGTTAGGTAAAGTTTTTCCTAGTCACATTAATGAGTGTTAAGGGTGTAAACTTGCTAAACTGACAGCTTTACCCTTTAATCACAGTACTTCTATTTCTGCTTCCCCTTTTTCTCTTGTACATACTAAAGTCTGGGGACCTTCTCCTGTTCTCACTAAAGGGGGTTTTGCTTATTATGTGTCCTTTGTTGATGATTGTACTCGCTATACCTGGGTTTATCTTATGGCTCATAAATCTGACTTTTAGTAGATATATCGTACATTTTAGTCTGTGATCACTACACAATTTGGGGCCATAATTAAAATACTCCGGTCTGACTTGGATGGGGAATGCTTTAAAACTGAATTCTGTGAGTATTTGGCCAAATTGGGCACCATTCACCAAACCTCCTGTACTGATACACCTGCCCAAAATGGTCGTGCTGAGCGTAAACACCGCCATCTCCTTGAGACAGCTCGATCTCTTCTTCTCCTTGCCTTTATTCCGGCACCATTTTGGGGTGAGGTAGTTCTTACTACTGTTTTCCTCCTTAATCGTATGCCGACTCCCTTACTCTCTAGTTGATCCCCTTATGAGGCTCTATATTCCCAACCTCCCAATTATTTCCTCCTGCGTGTCTTTGGGTCTGCTTGTTTTGTCCTCCTTTCTCGTAAAGATAGAACCAAACTCAATGCCCGGTCTGTCTTGTGTGTCTTTTTGGGTTACAGTTCTACTCAGAAAGGCTACCGCTGTTATGATCCTGTCTCTTGTTGCCTTTATGTCTCCCGTCATGTTGCCTTTCTCGAACGTCTGTCTTACTTTTAGCTTCCCCCTCTCACTGTTCCAGTTTCCAAAGAGGATTTGGTTCAAATTGACCCATTTCCTTCTGAGGTCTCGTCTGATGAATACATCTCCACTGTTCCTCCTGAGCTTATTCCATCTTCTCCTCTTCCTTCACCTCTAGTTGCTTCTCCTCCTTCGGCTTCTTCTCTTCCTCCGTTATTAGTTTATTCTCGTCGCAAGGTTCCTCCTCTACCAGTTGTCTCTACCTCTGCTGTTGCTCCTCCTGCTTCTGACGACACCGATCCTTGCTGAATGCCGATATCCTATTCGAGCGCGTCATCCTCCAAACAGGTTGGGTTGGTTTAATACATGTTTTCTATTTCCTATCGTATTTTTTTGTCTGCTATTCACTCTTTTTCAGAACTCCAGTCTTATAAGGAGGCATGTCAGGATCCTCATTGGGTTCAAGCTATGGAGGATGAGTTGTCTGCTCTACAAAAAACTAGTACTTGGGAGTTGGTTCCTTTGCTTGCTGGTAAGAACTTGGTTGGTTACAAATGGGTCTACAAAGTCAAGACTCATTCTGATGGGTCTCTTGAGCGCTATAATGCTAGTCTGGTTGCCAAAAGTTTCTCTCAGGAGTATGGTATTGATTATGAGGAGACATTTGCTCCTGTTGTCAAGATGACTACTGTCTGTACTTTGATCTCTGTCGCTGCTATTCGGTCTTGGCCTCTTTATCAGATGGATGTTAAGAATGCTTTTCTTAATGGTCATCTCACTAAAGAGGTTTACATGCACCCTCTCCCCGGTCTTCACCATTCCTCTGGTCAGGTTTGTCATCTTCGGCGTGCTCTGTATGGTCTGAAGCAGTCTCCTCGTGCTTGGTATGATCGCTTTCAGACTGCTGTTACCGAGCTTGGGTTTCATCCTTCTGCTTCCGACTCTGCTTTATTTCTAAGACATACCTCGGCTGGTTTTGTTGCTCTCTTACTCTATGTGGATGATATGATCATCACTGGCTCTGACTCTTCTGCTATCTCTGAGGTCAAGCAGCATCTCTTCCGCACCTTCGAAATGAAAGATCTGAGTCCATTACGGTATTTTCTTGGTATTGAGGTTGCTTCTTCTTCAAAGGGCTATTTTCTGTCTCAAGCTAAGTATGCTAATGAAGTCATTCATCGTGTTGGTCTCACTGATACTAAGGTTTCTGATACACCTACTGAGCTTAATGTGAAGCTTAACTTTACTGATGGTGTCCCTTTAGATAATTTCACTTTATATCGCGAGCTTGTGGGTTGTTTAGTTTATCTGACTGTTACTCGTCCTGATCTTGCTTATGCTGTTCATGTGGTTAGTCAGTTTGTTTCTGCTCTTCGCTCTACCCATTGGGCTGTGTTGGTTCGCATTCTTCGCTATCTCAGGGGTACCATCTTTCGGGCTTACTGTTGTCCTCTACTTCCTCTTTAGACTTAGTGGCCTATGCTGACTCTGATTGGGCTGGTGATGTTACTGATCGCAAGTCTACGTCTGGTTTTTGTATGTTTCTTGGTGATTCCTTGATCTCTTGGAAAAGCAAGAAACAATCAGTCGTTGCTCGTTCTACTGCTGAAGCTGAGTATCGTGCTATGGCTCATGGCACTACTGAAGTTGTTTGGCTTCGTGGTCGCTTGTCTGATTTAGGTGTCTCTCAGTCTTCTCTGACCTCTCTCTATTGTGACAACCGCAGTGCTGTTCAGATTGCCCACAATACTGGTTTCCATGAGCGAATGAAACACATTGAGATTGATTGTCACTTCGTTCGCCAACATCTGTAGTCGGCCTCTATCTCGCTTCCTTTCATCTCTTCAGCTTTGCAACTTGCGGACTTCTTCACCAAGACTCACGCTACTCCTTGATTTCAGTTTCTTCTTAGCAAACTCTCAATGTTTTCTGCTAAAACACCTTGAGTTTGAGTGGGGGTGTGAGAATACATTGTGAATCTTATAAATTAGGCATGATTGTGGTTGTATATGTTAGAGTCCTAGTCCTATTAGATGAGTGATTGTATTAGAGTCCTTTTTGGTTTAGGAGTTAGGGCTATATAATCTAAGGTCTGGTTGTAATCAAATATACAATTGAATATACAGAGATACAGAAATATTACAGTGTCCAGACGCCAGAGGCCAGAGGCAAATCTTTTCTTAACATCAAGCGTGTTGGTACTAGATAGAAATGATAACCCCAACAATTTCTTTGTTTTAACGACTTAAAAGAGAAGGCGATTGATCGAAGAGGTCTAAGATTATAATACAAATAGTTGGCCCTTCTTTCTCAAAGTAAACTTTCTCGTTTCTTGCTTTAGTTTTCAATAAGGGGTGCGTTATTCTATTCCATCTTATTCCAGTGAACCAAATAAAGCATCAATCTTCTTTGCAAAAGGTACGGAAAAAAAGGAAAAAGAAAAATGGCCACATATCCGTTCTGTGTGCCTTGGTCACCTAATAATCGTTTGCACAGGAGCATTGACTGACTGACTTTAGTTTTGCAGCTTTGTTTATTATCTTCTTGGCTTGCATATTTTCATTTTTTCCCCTTTTCTTTTTTCCAGCAATTATTAGCATATTTCAGTTCTGAATTCTGAGTATGAATATGTTAGAGATTGCAGAGTCAAAGATCTGGGAGCCAAGGCAAGATATTAAAGTGAGTCGCAATCTACAAACTTGTCTCCTAGGTAGCTTTTGTTTTGGAAACTTATCACCATTTTTCTTCTTCTTCTTTTTTATTTTATTTTTTTATTTTTTTGTATTTTCTTTGCTCTATAATATTGTACATACTCATTTGCTGCAGTGAAGGTGAGGAGGATGAAATAATTTTGAACGTGGAATGCCATTACACTCAAGCTAAAGTTGACAGCTGCATATTCAATCTTGGAGATTGTGCATACATAAAGGTCAGTACACCATATTTCAAACATAGGTCCCTCACCCCTCTCTCCCTCCTTTATTACTTTTTTGTTGCTACATTGCCCCATTACATGTTTTGCTGAATTTGACTTTTCAAAAGAGTTTATTAACTTTGAGATCATGCTTTCCTATGATTAAGGTAATTTATGTGCGGCTTTCGCACTTGCCCCATTAAGCTTTATTATTTATGTATCTTGATCAGTTCTGAATTTTTTCAATAATTATTTCAAGACTTCTCTTGGTCTTGTTTCCTATCTACATGGGCTTTTATATGTGTGGAACTGCATAAGCATTACTAGATGTTGTTGAAGCAGTACGTACTGTCATCACTGAATTTTGTATGCATATTGTTACGACTTCTATAAAGTAGAAGGCTTATGTAGGCATTTTCTTGATCATCCAAGGAATGGGCTTGAAATTATGTTTTTAAACCTAGTATTTTACGTAGGCACTTATTGAAATTATAAATTTTGCATGCATACTAAAATTATGTAGGCTTTTCCTTGATCAGCCTTGACCTCAAAGTGATTGAGATAAACAGGACTGTAATTATGAGCTATTCATTTGATTCACAAGTTCTGTGATTTAGTGGGGGTTTGGGAAGTGGGTTTTTTGTAGGTTTTTTTAGTTGTAGAATATTATTAGAGAAGTTTTTTTTTGTATCTGGGAAGATAGTTGGGTTTTTTTGTGGTTGGATATGATGCTTGTGAGAGAAAAAGTGAAATGATTATGGGGTTTGATGTAATATTTTGTTTGGATTTATTTTTTTTGGTTTTGCAACCAATTTGTCTTTTAGTGAAAAAAAAAAAAAAACCTAAAAAGTTTGTTCCCAAACACCGCCTCAGTGTTTCTTATTCTGTTACATTCCTGGGGCCAGGGTTACAGGGGGTATATCACCTGTTGGTACTATGACATCTCATTGTTGAGGTCATATCACAAGATGAAGTTGTTATATATGTTTGGCCTATTAAAAACAAAAAGTTATTATATATGTTTGGGAGTTTCCAGCAAACATAACTGAAACTCGGTTTTGCTTAGAGTCAGGTAGAATGCATGTTTATTGTGGACCACAAAGAAGGTAAAAAACAATTTCCCTATTTTGTGTGTCCATATATAATGTTAATACTTGAGTATAGATTTTAAGAAATTGAGATTAATGACATGAGTCAGTTACTATGGTGCTTTGACATACAATTAAGAATGTACAATTGGGAAATGTTGAAATCCTAAATGATCAAGTCGTGGATTTATGTTTTAAAGAAACCATGGTGCTTGGGATGTGATACAATTTTTAGGCCTAGCGATCCAAACTCTAGGTGAGTGGTGATATCTGAATTTGGAGCAACATCGATGGTTGTTCAGGTGATTCGTATGTCTTTTTCATTTGGCTGACCGCATGTGTAGTTAGCTTTAACATAAGCTCCTGTGCTTTCTCAAGTCTAATCATATGGAGGCTCCTTAGATGAATTACATTATCAAAAATCTGGCACTGGAAAGAAAGAAGTGAGTTTAGCATGGAAATAACCATGATCAGTTGCTGTTAATGGGGGATTGATTGGAATTAGATGGCTTGGATTTGTAGTTTTTGCTCTATCACATCCCTCCTCTTCCATTTTGATGAATATTGGTTTATGTCGGAGTTTCACTTGGTGGTGGTATAATCCCTCCTTTCGCATTTCTCTTTTTCTTTGGTTGCTCCAAGCAGGATGTTGCTTTGCATTGTGAAGAATTCCTTTTGAGCTCTCAATGTAGCTCAGCCCTTGCCCCAGCCACATTCTTTTGTCATACTTCTTATTGCTAGCTAAGGAAGGCGTTGAATGTATAGATGAGAAGGAGAAGGAGTTCAACAGAGAGAGAGAGAGAGGGGGAGAAACAGCAGCTGTATTATTTGATTCAAAAAACATAGGGTTTCCCCCTTACACGCAAACTATATATACTAATAAGAATAATACATAAAGACTAAACTACCTCTAACACTTAACACTCCCCCTCAAGTTGGTGCAAAGATGTCTCTTATGCCCAACTTGCAACAAATAGGGTGAAAGACTTTCCTACTAAGACCTATAGTAAACACATCTGCCAGTTGATCTTCAGACTTGACCAAAGGCATACATATCACACTCTTATTCAACTTCTCCTTAATGAAATATCTGTCAATCTCAATATGCTTAGTCCGGTCACGTTGAACAGGATTGTGTGCAATACTAATAGCAGCCTTGTTATCGCAATACAAAGTCATGGGATCACTGTAGTTAAGCCCTATATCACTCAGCAAAGATTGAAGCCACACTAGTTCACATGTTCCATGTGCCATAGTCCTGTATTCAGCCTCAGCACTAGATCTGGATACTATTGCCTGTTTCTTACTACACCATGTGACTAGATTTCCCCCTACAAAAACACAGTAAACAGAGGTAGAGCGTCTGTCATCTATAGAGCCTACCCAATCTGCATCTGTGAATGCTTCCAACCTCAAGTGACCATGATTAGAGAACAAAATTCTTTTTCCAGGAGCAGATTTAAGATACCTCAAAATGCGATAGACTACATCCCAATGAGTTGCACGAGGATCATACATGAACTGACTTACTATTCCAACTACATAGGCAATATCTGGACGAGTATGAGATAAATATATCAGTCTTCCCACAAGTCTTTTGTACCTTTCCTTCTCCACAAGCTCACCAACCCCACTACAAAGACGATGATTAGTCTCAATTGGTGACTCGGCTAGTCTGCATCCCAACATGCTCGTTTCCTCAAGAAGATCTAGAATGTACTTCCTTTAAGAAATGAAGATGCCTTTATTAGATCTGGCAACTTCAATCCCAAGAAAGTATCTCAAAGGACCAAGGTCTTTTATCTCAAACTCCTTGGCTAACAGCATCTTGAGATAGGTCACCTCCTCCTCATCATTACCTGTCACAACTATGTCATCCACATATACAATAAGTACTGTTACCTTATGTACATTGCGTTTGACAAACAAGGTATGATCTGCATTGCTTTGCTGATACCCAAACCCCAGCATTGCCTTTAGGAATCTACTAAACCACGCTCTAGGAGATTGTTTCAAATAGGCCTTCTTCAATCTATAAACCTTTCCAACTGTAGACTGAGATGAGAATCCCGGAGGTACATCCATATATACCTCCTCCAAATCTCCATGAAGAAAAGCATTCTTCACATTTAGTTGTTGTAGAGGCCATCCCAAATTAGCAGCACACAACAGAATAGCTCGAATGGAATTCATCTTTGCTACTGGGGCAAAATTTTCTTGATAGTCTATTCCATATGTCTGGGTAAATCCCTTGCATTGTGCTTAATGGTGAACACCCACTTATATTTGACTGGTTTTTTTCATTAGGAAGAGACACTAACTCCCATGTGTTATTTTTACTCAAAACTTGCATCTCCTCTACCATAGCTATCTTTCACTTAGGATCATTGATGGCTTCTTTCCGACCCTGCGGAATTCACACAGAAGAAAGAGACGAAACAAAAGCACGATATGGAGAAGACAACGAATCATATGACACGAATTTAGAAATGGGATGTTGAGTACAGGCTCTAACCCCCTTTCTGAGAGCAATAGGGAGACTCAAATCATCAGCAACAGGACTATCAACAACAAGTGAAGCAATGGGCTGAGGATCATTACCTGTAGAGTCAGTGGAAACTGGGTGTGGAACTTGTTAGAATAATATATTATTATTTGGGTTATTATTTTGTAATTACTTTATGCCTTAGGGCTTCCTCTTGTAATTATTAACTCCATTAATATAAATAGGCGATGATATCCTAATCATACCCTAATCTTGGTATTCTCTAAAATCATCATGGTCTTAGAGCCACAACCCTAAACCCTAAATCCATCCACTACACAGCCACCACATCCACTACACAGCCACCACAAAACTGCTGTCTAAGGTTTGACTGTATCTGTCGGAGTCAGCCCTAAGTCAACCACTGTCACAGGTGCCCACACAGTAGTTGGTCGCTGTTAATAGGCCTTTTGGCCTAAGTCGACCTCTGTGGTTTCGGTTGACAGGCCATCTTGCCTAGTCGCACCTCTGTGGTCCTAGCCGCAACCTTCGTTCACTATCGCAGGTCCCCAGTTACGTGTTTGGTCTTTGTCAACAGCCATTCTGGCCTAAGTTACCACTGTGGCTGTGTCGTCTGCCTTGCCGACTGCCACTGGCAGTCTCTCAAACCTAGCCGATAGCCTCGAGGCCTTCTTTGGCTTCCTTCGTCTCCCTTTATGTCGTCTCTCTTGTTTGACCTTTTGCTGCCTTTTTTAATGAGGTGTTGAACTTGTTTTGGTTCTGTTTTTTCCTCATTTTTTCTTTATTATTAAAAAAGAAAATAAAAGAAAAAAAAAAAAAGTTTGATGAGTTTTTAAGTCTTTAATTTTCTTAGTGGTCATTGTGTTTGTATTCCTCCACCTTCCGGGTTTGTGATTGGTACTGGTTTTGTTGAGGGTTCGGTAGTACAGTATCTATGGCAGATTCCATCGGTGTGTCCACTACTCTGACACCTAGGAGTGAGAGTTTCCCTATACCTACCACTATGAGTGATAACCCCAACCCTAGTCTTAAAATCACTTCCTCTCTATTTAATGGTCAGAACTATCTCGGGTGGTCGCAGAGTTTGACTATGTTTTTGAAGAGCATAGGGAAGATGGAGTATGTGGATGGCAGGATACAGGCACCCAGCACAACTGACCTGGGTTATGACCAATGAGAGATTACCAACTCTTTAATTATGAGTTGGCTTATTCATTCAATGGTACCAGACATTGGTGAGGGCTACTTATCTATGGAGGCTGCCTAGGATGTTTGGGATGCTGTGGCTACCACCTATTCCCGCAAAGGGAATTTCTCACAGGCATTTGAGTTACGTCGCTCTATCGAGAGCTCTGTTCAGGGGGAGCAGACGATTCTTCAGTCTTCACTTTCCTCACCAATGGCTGGAAACGCCTTGATAA